CCAGCAGGAGAGAACCCTGCAGGGGAACACTGTGCTTGGGACCAAGCTAGAAAGAGAAAAGCCAAAGAGATGAAGTAGGACTACACATGGGAATAGGTACTATAATCAAACCACAGCAAAGCACCAGAGGTGCCAACAGCTGGACCTTTCAAAAGAAAGGGAATCCATGCAATGGAAGCAGAATCAATAGAGCAATGGAGGAATGGTGTGGGAAGGGGATGGGCCAAGCTGGTTGGAAGCAAAGGCCACAACAACTAAGCAAAACAATGACAACTACAACCTCCTCCTGACCTGTGGGGTTCCTGCAGAGATCAGGGCTGCCCTCCAAACAGATTACCTGCCCTGAGCCCATTTTCCTGGCTAAGTGACCAATGCTGTTTGATTCCCAGCTGGACTCTCTCAGGGACTGGCAGACGGCATAAACCTCCCCAAGGGCATCCAGTGCCTATGTATAAAGATCTGTTTACATGACTAATGTTTGCAGAGTTTTCCAGTAACTTTTCACTCTTCCAGAAATGGGAACAGGGTTGCCAGCCTTTCTCTTTGCTGTGGTGTGGATATCTTGTCTTCTTTTAAATTCCCATCAGTGGGTTTGCTCCAAGCTCTGAATGTGCAAGAGAAATTTCCTTTTCTGTCTGACAGAAAGAATCAAATCAAGAGATCTTTATCTCAAAATACTGCCATGTCCTTGTAAGTGGATGGATTTTCCCTTTATATCAGCATTCCTTGACAGTGTGAGGGGGTTTAGGAAGCTGTCTCTACACTGGGACCTCTATTGTTTAATAAGCACGTCAGTTTTCTGGAAAAATTAGTGAATTGGCAAAAAAATGCCACTGCTGCAAAATTATATACATTTGTTAATTCTGGTCTTGCCTGAGACCAGTGAATTCGTGAGTTTCAGAGGAGTCTAAAAATGAAGCAAATTGGAATTACAATGCAAGTGAAATTCAGGGGGAAAAACCCACTATGGAGATGCAAGGAACATTGTGAGCCTTTTATAGAGATTGCTTGATCTCAAATTTACTGTTATCACTCAAAAAGACAATATATCATTAGACTTTTTTTTAGAAAGAAAAGACTTTTTTTTAAGAAAAATCTGCCATCTTGTATTCTGTAACAATGGCAGAAGAAATTAACACACAAAATTATAGAGGCTGTGAAACATGAGATGATTTTGTTGCCAAACAATCTGTGATGCAGAGATCACTACAGAAGAAGGCCACAATGGAGGTTCATATTTTCTAAAAATTAAATTAATCAGTTGCTATACATGTATCTCTCTTTTGGGCAGTGTGCTCCTAATCTTTTTTTTTTTCACAAGGTACTGCATTGAAATTTATTGCTGCTAAGCTAAAATTAATCCTGGAATAGGGCACAACCTCTTTGTATGTGGGCAATGGAACTGAACTGCCCAAAGAAGCCCCAAGGCAAACCTCAGTGCCTGTGGCTGTTGGGAACTCCTGTAGCACTGAAGGGAGACCCTCTTTTCCTGAAGAAAAGCCTTATAAAAGGCCTAATTTCTAGTCAACTTGCAGAATATTTTTGTTCCAGAAACACTGATAGCTTTGCCTGAGTTAACTCAGACTTCTTTTGTGAATCAGAAGCAAGACTTCATTGAGTGTGGAGATGGCAGAACCAACTCCATTGCATGAGGAAGCAGATAACCCCACAACAGGGGCATGTGAGACATCTCTGTCACGGGACCGGGGCTGCCTGAGCCAACTGATGCTGCCTGCAGTGTTATGGGCAAAATACAGAGAGAACTCCAGCAAGAAGGCCTGAAGGAATTGGAAGAGGTGTAACAGGAGTCACTTCAGGTACAGGTGTGATGGGGTCTCTCCCTCACCACAATCAGCTAGGTCAGAGGACTGGACCATAAAGAGACCAAGGTAAGGCTCTCTAGCCCATGCCTTTGGCCCACGACCAAGATATAAAATGGAAATCAGGCAGACCTACCTCACTCTTCCTTGAAATTCTGGGGTGTTGGAAGTACCAGTAACATGTGGGTGGAACATGAGGACAGGAGGACAGGAGGACAAGGAACTGGAATGCAAGGTACACATACTTTAGGAAAGTCATGGTTTAAAGTTGAACTCACTGTGTCTTTTCCATGCTTTTCTGGTGGTAACCTGGGAACAATCACGGAAGCTAATGAAGCAGAATCCCAATCATTTATTAAGTATTAATGGAGAAGGGATGAGAGCTGAGTGAAAATCACCTTTCTGAAAGGCTTGCTTGTGGCAGTGCTAAGAGAAGGGAAAGCCAATGTCACTTTGAACAGCATGCAGGCAGGGTGGCAGTTCCTTGCAGCAGCCAGAGGATACAGATTCTGCATATTCCCTGAGACTGAGAGCACAAAAACTTTGAAAGATGCACTCCTGAATCCAAATGTGTAATGACAAAATTTAAGAACAAGTAAAATTTGTTTACAGGTTTTGAATAACCTTGTTTTAGGCTGCTAAACAGGTTCTCATTTAATCAGCTACTGATACAGGTATGGGAACACTTCAGCTGTTGTCAAGAACTTGGGGGCCTGGGCCACCATCCAAGTATTTTCAGACACATATTTGGAAAGCAAGCTCTTTCTCAGATTATGATTTTCAGCTATTCTTTTCTCTACACCCCCCTTCCATTTTACTTTCCTCCCCTATTGCCCCTTTTTTCATGTGTAGATAACATTCAACACACATTTCTTTCTCTGTATCTGAGATTACACAAGGGTAAAGCCTCTCCACCTTCGTTAAACAAAATTATTTCCTCTGGTGGGTTGGCCACCTGGAACATAAAACATAAAGCTATTTTAGCAGGAACTAATGTGGTTTCTGGCAGGACAGCCAACAGTATCCTCGTTGGCACATCCTTGGTGGTAGTGCTGAACCCCCCAGTGGGGTGAAGGCAGGGTGAGAAGCATTCTTGAGTCACGTGGATCACAGGATTAAATCAAATGACTGAAAAAAAGAAAAATACGAAGACCGGAATGTGTAAACAGTGAAGGGGGGGAAAAAAAGTGGAAATCAGAATTAAACTTGAAGGCTTTTTGTTAAAACTCTCTGAAAGGGTGTCACAGTGTAAGACCAGCTTTATGGACCTTTTCTTAGGCACTTTTTTACCCAGTGACTCGACCATATATTTAATAAAACACTTTATACATCCTAATGGTAGTAACATAATATTTGTGAGCCTAAATGTATTCTCAGCAACTGCCCCAGAGGTTGTCTTAATACTGCTGAAACCATTCAACAGGACTAGAATGCAGGGTGTCATGCCCTTTTTTGCTAGCTATTATTGCCAACACTAATGGATGCTGTTATTATATTCAGTGACAATGGGCACCACCAGTGCCAAGGGCAGCTTCCACTTTTGTTGGTTACACATCACTGTGAAGCAGCTCAGGCACCACTACTAGCACAAATGTCCCTGCACTTCTGTGGTTTATTCATGAACACAAGTGTTTGTTGCAAAAGGAAGCGTGCTTTACGTGGGCTGTGGTTCCACATAAAATTAAATAGGAAAATTAAATCACCTGCAGACAGAAAGTTAGGATTTTTCTTCAGTCATAATACCAAGGCATATGGATATCTGTCTGATAAATCATATAGTGATAAATCAGATCTCCCCCGTAGGGCTGTAAATATTACAAATCAGCAATGTAAGGCAGCCCTGTTCACCCCGTTCAACACTTTTCTTGCAAATAAGGGCAACTTGAAATGGATGTCCGAAATCTGAAGCAGTTATTAATACTGAATCTGCATTTTGGTTGAAAAAAGTAACACTTTAAAGTGGGAATTAGAATTATAGAAGAAACATAAGTCCAAATCCAGAAGAGACATACAAAAGAGAAGCAGTATCTCCAATGGCCAGTGTCTCAGGGGCTTAGCAGGACTCAGACAAACAATTTTTTGCACTCTGATTAAAAGGCTTATTGAAAAATTGCCATGTTTTTCACAAAGGTGTCAAAGTAGAAAGATGAACTTTCAGCCTTAGCTCAATGTCATGCTGCAGTGCGCAAGAAAAGAACAAACACAAGCTTACAAATGCAGTTTGTTCTCTGTATCATGAAAGCCTGGCAGAACTCCAGAGCTGGAGTAACGCCAAAGCAGCACACCAGCGTCTTTGATCTTCCAAAGCTCATGTTTTCCTTTGGTGTTTAACATCCCGACTAATTTAAAATCAATGTACGAATGGCTTTCAGAAATAATTGCGAGCAGCCGAAGTCTCGGCATTTCATAACCATTCGGGTCGCTGGCCGCTGTCCCGAGGGGAAGCTCGGAGAGCCGCAGCACCCCCGTGCCCTGCACGGCTCTGCACTGCTGCCCGCAGGTTGCCGAGCACCTGCATTCCCACGGGCCGAGCACTTCCAGGCTTTTCACCTACAGATTATTCTTTTGTCTGAGCCCCAGGTCTGTCAGGTCTGACACCAATCACGGCGGGGTGATTTCCTTGCTCAGACACCACAAAGCGCTCACTTCACTCCCACACGCTCGGGAGCAGCCCGAGACGCCCCTGAGGGATTTCTGCACGGTGTCCTGCAGCTTCCACTCATCAATCTCTAACCTCGTTGCTTTTTTAGTTTTCTTACGGTAAAAAGTTCATTCTCACGGCATCTGCTACAGCTCCATTCGTGGCACTTGTGTACCCCATGATTATGCTTGTGACTACTTGTGACAGAGCGGCTCCGGAAAGGAGACCAGAGAGAGATTTCAGCTGGATCGCCACGCCAGGCCCGGTTCACTGCCTCCTCAAGGAACTGCTCAACCTCGGCTCGGCTCGGCTCGGCTCGGCTCGGCCCGGCTCGGCTCGGCTCGGTTCCCTGGGGCCCCTCCCGGCCGCGCTCTGCCCTCAGAGCCGCCCGCAGGCCCCGCCCCCGCCAACGCCTCACGGCCGCAGCCCTTGTCTGATGCAATTCGCTTCCCCCCTTGCCCGCGGCCTCGGGCCAATCACGAGCTCTCCCAGCCGTGGCGTCACGCCTCGCAGCCAATGAGCGAGAGCCACGATGGTAGAAATCCGGGCGGGGCGGCGCGGGGCGCAGACGGCGGCGCTGGTGACGCGGGCGGCGTGTCCGCTGTGCTGCCGTGCCGCCATGGCAGCGCTGCCCGGTGCCGCGGCCCCGCGGCTGCTCCTCATCCCTGGCAAAGCGGCCGAGGCTCCCGGCACCGCGGCTGCCCGGCACCTGTCCGTTGTCCTGCCGGCAGGAGCCGATCCCGGCCTCCCCGGGATGGAGACCACGCAGCCGGCCCGCAAGCGGCAGCGGCTCACGCATCTGAGTCCGGAGGAGAAGGCGCTGCGCAGGTGAGTGCGGGGCAGCGGTGGGAGGGCTGCGGCTGAGCTCGGTGCGTACAGGATCTCCCGCTGACGGCCGCTGTGCCCGCAGGAAGCTGAAGAACCGCGTGGCGGCCCAGAGTGCCCGCGATAGGAAGAAGGCGCGGATGACAGAGCTGGAGCAGCAGGTGGTGGAGCTGGAGGAGGAGGTGAGAGACGGGGGGAGATGAGGGGCTGGAGGAGCGGGAGGAAGGGAGCGGCCTCCCTGCCTCACGGCTCTTTGCAGAACCAGAAGCTGCTGCGGGAAAACCAGCTCCTGCGGGAAAGGACGTGTAACCTCGCACGGGAGAACCAGGAGCTCCGCTGCCGCCTGGGTTTAGATGCTCTGAAGACGGAGGAGGAGGGTGACGAGTTCCAGGTGAGCCGCGCTGCTGGCGTGCCCGCCCCCGCTTGGGCAGAGCTGCCCCGCTCCCGGAGCAACCTCGCTGCTGTGGGCAGGGATATGACGGGAATACCTTTGTCCTCCATGTGGAGGCTGTCCTGAAACTCAGCGGGTGCCAAGTCGAAATGGGTAATGTGGGCGGTAGAAAGCTGACTACTTCCAGGCTGGTTTAAGATAGTTTTCTCTGGTTTTCTACCTTATAGAGGTGAAATAGAAACCGTTACAGTCATGTAAGTATGTCTCAGATGGGATGGAGAGGGTCAGGCTTTCATTTAAAAGTGTCAAACAAAATAAATGTGAAAGTGTAGGGAAGCTTCAGCTAACTTTGAAATTACCTTACCTTCAGGTTCCTACAGAACAAGCAAATAGAGAATTTTGTGTTGGAACCCTTTGCAGAAAAATTATGATCTTGAAGATCGTGTACTGTACTGCCTGCCAGAACATTTGCAGTGACTGAGTTTTTGTCTCGGCACAGGTTGTGAAGGAATCCCAGGTGGATGAGATCAGATTGGTGACCGGGTCCGCTGAGTCCGCAGCACTCAGACTACGTGTTCCTCTGCAGCAGGTGCAGGCCCAGCAGTCACCATTTCTGACAGCTTCCACATGGATTCTGATGGCAGTGACTCTTCAGACTCTGAGGTGAGCATCCAGTCCTGTACAAATCGTCCGTGAAATTTGGAAATACTGTAGATTTAAGACTAGTGTAGTAACATTTTGATGTTAAATCATTTGGTGATTTCCATTCATTCCAAATCTTGGAATGCCATACCTGTGCATCAGAACAGCTGTGTTAGGCTGTGTCCAGTGAGTACAGGAGTTCAACAACACCCACATGAAAAAACCCAGTCCCCACAGCTTTAGTCATGTGCAGGTCTGCCTGAGCCAGGTTTTGGTCCGTGCTCAGTATAGCCAGCAGGCACTTTGGTGTTTGTACTTGATGGGTACAAGATCTCAAGGAGCTTTCTGATAGTGCCTGTAAATCTCAAATGCGTGTATAATTCCCTGGAATTGCCAGTACCCTTACAAAAAAAGCTGTGGGCAAAGAATGACTGTGCCCTGGCACAGATTGCCCAAAAGGGTGTGCAGTCTCCCTCGCTGGAGACAGTCAAGAACCATCTGGTGCAATGCTGTGCCACGTGCTCTACTGTGACTCTGCTTGAGCAGGGAAATTGCTGGAGCAGATGTGACCTACTGTGGTCCCTTCCAACCTGGCCTATTCTGTGAATTTCTGCAAGATAGGTAACTGCCTTAGCTGTGTGTTTGATGATATTCTTGGTAAAACAGCTGTGATTGCATCAGTGTATAGTAACTTCCGCATGGAGGTTAATAGGGGCCACATTTGGTGTTTGGCTGTAACAGTAATAAACTGTCTTTCTAAAACTGTCTTTCCTTTTGCAGTCTGATCTCCTATTGGGCTTTCTGGACGGTCTGGACCCAGAGTTGTTTCTCAAATATGCTGATTCAGAGTCAACGTGCCTGGAAAAGCTGGATGAAGAGATCTCTGGAGAAACAAATTCCATACCAACCGCCCTCTCTCCCTCTTTGGGGTCCCCATCAGCTAAGCTGGAAGCCATTAATGAACTCATAAGGTTTGATCACGTGTATACAAAACCCCTAGTAGTGGAGATTCCTGTTGAAGTGGGCAACCAAACCAATACGCTAGTGAAAATTGAGAAAGAAAATCTCTCTTCATCTGACGACAAGGCCATCCCTGAAGTCCCAGTGTCTGTGAAGAAGGAACCTGTAGACAGCTTCATGCCTGAACTGGGCTTTTCTCATCTGCTTTCTTCTTGCCATAGCCTTGAAGCCCCAAGCTACCTGTTGGATGGCTGTAGTGACTCTGGGTATGAAGGATCCCCGTCGCCCTTCAGTGACACGTCGTCTCCGCTTGGCGCTGACCACGCGTGGGAGGACAGCTTTGCCAAGGAACTCTTTCCCCAGCTCATCAGTGTCTAACCTGGTAGTGTTAACTCCCTGTGAACAACTGTCCTGGCAGGAAATCAGCAATGCCCCTTTGGGGTGTGTGTGGGGAAAATCAAGTCCATCCAGAAAAGCGTTTCTCATATTTGCCATGCTAGTAGATGGCATGATGGTATGAAAAAGCCTGGGGTGTCCTGTCCTGCCCTGGCTCCCCCCAGTCAGTGTTGGCTTAGGAGAGAGGCAGGTTTGTTTCTCAATAACTTGCTCATTCTCTGTGAACCTGAAAATGTTTTGTTTTCCAGTTAAACTTTTTAAAACCAAAAACTAAAATCATGTATAGACAGCTGGGCTAGACCTTAATAGTCTCTAAGTCTTACAGCTTCACTAAATGCTTGTTTTCCATATGCTATGTAGAGTTGCTTTGTCCATTTAATATTTAACTGTATTGGTGCAATTAAAATGCAGTGCAGCTCACTGACCCTGTTTTGCCTTAGAACTCAGTGGGGAGGGGAGAGTATCTGGGCTTTGGAGAATTTAAATCGGGTCCCTCTGTGTCTCATCCTGCCACAATGCATTGAGGAGCACTGCTCATAAGGTGTCTGCAGCTGGATGCTTCAGCAGCTCCCTTTTTGGGGGCATGGATGTGGTAGACAAGTTTGTGTGAGGGCCAAAGCTACCAGAGCAAAACCTTTATCCTCTGTAAGGCAGATAGGTGGTAGAAGCTTGAAGTCTGAATGTTCAAAAGTCAGGGCAGTGGTGGCACCCTGGTGGCCAGTAATGCTGTCCAAATATCTCAGTATGAGGGGAGGTGGGTGTGAGACAGACACAGTGTGAAAACTTGCAGATTCTGTGTTACCACAGGAAATACTGAAGCATCAAATGGACTGGTCAGGAGCTCATTTCAAATACCACAGCAGGACTTCTCGTTGTCCACATCCATTTGCTCCAGTATCCAGTATTTATCACAATATTAAAAACACTTTGAGAGACAGAAGAAATTTTATACTGAAAATAAGAGAGCTGTTGCAGGTGTTGGCACAGCTGTTCTTGGTTTCAGTGCTATTTCACATTTTGCATTCAGTTTTGGCAAAAATAACTTGGGGTGGGGAAGAATGAAACATCTCTGGTTTTCTGTCACTAACATTCAAGGTGACAGGACTGCCTTGAATTACCAGCTTGAGTAACCTAGCTTATAATGAAGGATTCTACCTTCACTAAATAGTGGGTAGAATTAAAGACTACAGCTGTGTAGTGTAACAAATTTAGATACAAAATCCAAGTAATCAGAAGAATAAGTTGCTTTACTTTCAAGGTGGAAAACAGGGATGACTGCAAGAGTATCAAATTGTTGGGAATCCAAAAAAAAAGCAGAAGTGAAGATTTGAGCTGTAGTTTTGCAATACATTTTGTCAGCACCCTTTTAGGGAGCCCCAGGCCCTCCTGGCAGCCATGAGCAAGCCATTTCAACATTAAAAAATCCAAAGAAAATTGTATTATAGTCTCCTTTCCATCACAGTAGGACATGGGATGTGCCTAAACATTTCAACCTTGTTAGGCACAGGAGACAGAACTGTTGAAGGACATGGTCTTGACACTGTTTTGCTTCCCTTTTTCAACTTAATGGCTCTATCCTGGCATGCTTTATCCTGACTTACTGCAAGCACTGTGTCCCACAAGAAGGTGTTTACAGTTACTGAAACCTCTTCCACTAAAAACACAGAACTAGTTCTTGTTTGGCATGTAGAAGCCTACTAACATTCAGAATTCCTATCAGCACTAGTATTTTCTACTAGGATCAAGTCCACTAAGATGGTACACAAAAAAAGCAAAAGTCTTACTTTCCAACAAAATTACTAAAATCTGAATTTAAAACTCTTCTCAAACATTCCTTAACTTTAAGAATTGCTTACTTCTGAAGAGTACCTAGCTTGCTTACTTCTGAAGAGTTTTATTCTGAAGTAAAATTAAAGATCTCAAAACACAAGCTATGGCAACACTTATTGGTACCCCTATTGCTTTGTCAGGGGCCTTTGGGTCATGAGAGACTTAAAATAACTCTTCCTTCCTGGCAGCTTCAGGTTTATTCTATTCTGCTGTTGCCTTCCCTTATCCTGCTGAATACTGTGAAGGAAAAAACAGGCATGCCTTTGACATAACATAAATTCAAATCTTAAGCCAGAAGAATACTTGACTGTCCAGCTGAAGGACTACACATAGGCTCCCAAGGTTTTGTCACTCTTACCAGGAATGAAACAGTCATCTAAAAAATATTTTAGAAAATTTATTGAAAACTGACATACAAAGGGTGATTTGGTCCCAAGAGAAGACAGACCAGAATCAGATCTTTCATATTTCAAAATAATGTTTTTCCTAATACTGCATCGCATTTGCCATCCCGTTTGTGAACAGCATTAATAAAAGTCTTTTAATGAAGACAACAACAAATGAAACTCACAAATACAGAAGTCTGTAAATGCCCACAGCTTCATCTCTCATCCAATCACCCTCTCCAAGTGATTGCTGTAGCAAGGATCTTGCTCAGTGCTCCTGTCACTTGGTTCCCACTCTTCCATCAATTTAAGCAACTCAACCTCACTGTCTCCTAGCACAAGGGCAGAAATGTATTGTGAAAAAATGAAAGCAAATGTTTTCTATCAAAGCAAACTTCTCAGAATTTTTTTCTCCATCTCATAGTCTTTGTCAACAGTGCACCACTCTATTCTTGTTTTAGATGGCAGGTAACGGGTCAGTGATGCCCTATTAGCACTGAATTAAGAGGAAAGACACCTGAAAGTCAACCTTTGGTACAAACCTAGCAGGAAAAAAGTAACCTTAAAAGCCATCTACAACAATTTCTTATTCTGCAAATCTAATATGCAATTTGGTGTTTTTAAGAGGAAAATGACTGCATCATTTGATGTATTTAGGCCTCCCAGAGTTTTTTTACATCTTCTATTGCAGTTTCAGTGTTGCTGAGATGGTTTCATCACATTTTTGAAATTTTCATCCTTTTTTTTTTCAGTTTATTTAGGATTCAGAGCTTTCACCTAAAATACTTCCAACTTTGAACTTTCACTATAATCCAGCAAGCTGAAAACCAGTTACTTGGAGGCATCACACTTTCTACCTGCAGTGACTACAGCCTTCTCCAAACTGACTGCTTTATGTTCTACTCAAGCGTATCAAAGGCTGTAGGTCTTAAACATGTTCAGCAGCTTAATAGCATGTAAGAAATTTTACACAGTTCATGCAAAAGATTTATAGCAGACCCTGAAATGAAATTAGGCATTATAGCAAGATAGGCTGCACATGTTCTTCAACATAATAAACCTTCCAGAATGGTACAGGTGTATACTGGTTTCCAGAGAAATACCTACTCAGATGCTGGAGTGTTTTTAGTGAAACTCTAAAATGTCTTACCAAGAGACAGAAAATTTCAAACAACCTTCAACAAAAGCAGCAAGATAAACAGTGTTTAACAAACAGGTATCTTTTGAACAACCAGAAGGAATTAAAGGATGACTGCAAAAAGAGAAGATTGATTTTATGGGTTATTCAACAGTAAAGAACATTATCACAAGCTGTGCAGAGGAAGAGTAGATGTTCTTAAGTGAGCAGCTGCGTTACTGTGTACTTGCTCCTTTATGTCAGCAAGATGTCAAAACCAGACTGGGACATAGGACTGAACAGAACCTGTTACTTGGAAAGGATTTCTTATGAAAAGCCTCAATTCAGGTATCTCTGAGAAAGCTCGAGGACTTAGGAACAAAAGATAAAACCCTTAAACAAGCTAGAGAACCTTAAGCATAAGGAACTGCTGTGCATTGAGAAAAGGTACCAGCTCATTGTGGACTCCTTTCCTTGGCACCCTGTGCAGGGCAGAAAATTCTTTTGGCATACATCTGTATAAACAATGTCTTGCTATGTTATTGGCACATACTGTGGCTTAAATTTTATGTCTAGATTCTCTCAGGAAAAAGACAGGCATCTCCTTTACCTCACCACCAAAGCCACCAAAGGCTGGGACTTGGCGACAGACAATAACCCAGCATTTGACCCTCCTAATGGCAGCAAGCAGCCATTATCCCTGTTATCTGATTTACTTATCATGTTTACCCAAATTAATGGATGCCATTCATTTAATCAGAAGTCACACTGTCTTCAACTGACCTTCCAACTCCATGCATACAAAGAAGCTCAGCACAATGTAAAATGTGAATCTCTTTGCTGAGAACCACTTTTCTCCAAACTTTGCATTGTTTGGGGAGGGGAACATCAAAAATCCACAAATAAAATTTAGAAGGCAATGAACCCAAGATGACTAAAGTTAACAGGTATCCTGCAAGTTTTAAGTGCTGGCTTTACTTTCTACAAAGCAAAAGACTTAAGCTGAGTTGTAATATTCCTTCCCTACCCCATGGATTGTGTCATTTCTAGATCTGAATTTACATCAAGTCCAAACAAATAAGATGGTGTGAAAAGCTGTATTACCAGAGGGACTGCTTTTCTATCCATGACTAGATTTGAAGATATTTCTTCCTTTACATTTTGTAATTCAAATTAAACCAAATGGCCAAGCATTGTTATGTGCACCAGTTTCAATGGCTCAGTAAGACAAAGGCGTGGCTTAAGCCACAGTTACATTCAGTATTTGGATTTTATGCTTTACCAAGGGCAATTAAGAGGATATTTGACCATTAAGCAAGATGGAAAGCTACTTCCCGGTTCCAAAGGCCTCTGAATTACCTTTTCAATAAAAGTAAAAATATTTAACAGATTGGAACACAGAAATCTTAGGGTGTTTCCTGGCCACCCTATGATTGTGGTGTGCTTATGATTGTTAGTAAGAAAACAAAAACCAAATAATATAACTTCAGAGATTCACACATCAAACCAGAAGAAAAAAAAAATCAAAAAACATCAACAATAAGCATCAGAAGCTCACCACTTCCAGTCTAAAATCTGGCATCTACAACTCCATTTCTTCTTCTGCACACCCAGATATTCCCAAACTAGCATATGGATCTGGAGACATGGCAGTCTGTTGTGATCCAGGGAACGTTTCAGTCTGTGGGTCAAAAGGAGCTCTTGGTGTTGGCTGCTTAGCTTGACACACTTCTGTGCTCTGCTGCTTGAAGTTCTTAACAGAAACAGACTTCAGTTTATCTGTCATAAATTCAGGAAGAGGTTTCCAAAGCACAAGCTCCATAGAAGGACGGCTCCTAGAAGGAATGGAGTTTCAGTAAAATTTAAGTTCTCCAAGCACAGCTATTAAATGCAGAAGACCTGTATCTTCATCCTTTGAGCTAGCCTGGAACCATAGTCCAGAAAATATATACCTTTCTTCCCCCCCTATTAAATTTCCTCTTCTCTATTCCCTACTTCCATTATTTCTAGTTCTAACTCTGTATTTCCTCTCTTTTTTGCACCAAACTTGACCACCGTTGGTCACACTTCAAGATCTTCTAATTTTGGAAATTCATATACATAAAACCAAAACTGAAACTGGTTACTCAACAAATTTCCCTCTGTCGACACGAGGAGTACAAAACACTTGATGACCACTACAGTTACACTTGTTTCTTTTTTACATTAGGACAGTTTTTCCTATTTTTAACCAGATGAGTGGTCTGTTATACAATGCTGGCTGCACCATGCAGTAATCAAGGACATCTCCATAAACATGAAACGAGGTCTCTCTTTTCATTTGCACATGTTAGCTACGTAGCACCATGATTTCCTCCAGAACTTACATAGATTCTATTATTTTCTTTGTCAGGACTTCACCAAAATCCCTCTTCATCCCTTTCTTAAGGGTATCTGACAGGATAAGAGTGGGCAGATTGCTAACATTTCCATCAGCATGAACTTCCTCATCTTCATCAATTATCCTAGGAATGGAGGGGGAAGAGGGAGATAAACACTATTGAGCATACTGTTATCAGGAACATCCACTACAGTCACATCTACGTGCTCTGCTCTGTGCAGATCTCTCACCTAGGCTGGGTACCAGAAGCAGCAGGGCTATGTTAACATGAGTCTCTCTTGGGCCAAAACACCCTGAGAAGGACTCACCACAGAAGCCACTCCTGGTACCTGAGCTAGCTTTGTTACCCCTGAGTTATCCCAGCAGTGTCAGTGCAAACAGACACTGAGAGAAAACAAACCAGTTCCCTCCAAGGGAAACTGTATGATTCAGCCACGTGACACAAGTGAGTCTCAGCTATGCAGCTGCTTCACCTCAATGCCCCAAAACTGGACTTTGAGAATTATTGCAAGGTAGTGCTTCACTTTTCACAGCGCTGTGCCAGTTTCTGAGATTAAATCAGCACAATATGTTGAAATGTTTAGAACAAATGGAAGCATCTCCTTTGTTTTTGTTTTACAGAAAATTTAGCAGTGTAGCTGGGAAGAATGGCGAATAATCCTCCAAGAAGACCAAAGCAGACATAGACAGATAATAGATTTCACTACTCTGATTTACTCATTAAAAAAATAACAGTCTAACAGTACCTTGCTTCTCCTTATGCATCACCTATGGAGTAATCTACAACAAAATATTGTTTTAAAATTTCTATAACTTTTGGCTTTTCTAATAATCTGCAGTGGTCATTTTAGATACTTTGGAATACCAGCTCACCTGCAATCAACTGATACATACACATACCATTCCCAGAAATCTTTCAAGGGCCAGAATTCAGTAAAATTATTTGAAGACTACAGCAGACTGTCCATAGCCACCCAATTACCCCACATCCCAGCATCAGCAAGATCAATCTCAGCCTTACTGCATATGTGCAGAGAGACCTCTTTGGTTCATGCTACTCTCTCCACTGACAAATTCACATCTATTTAAGTTTAAATCACAGAATAAGCTGCAGTTGGTAGAAAAAAACTGAGCTCAAGCATGAGCAGAATTTGAGCTTCTGAATGCTCACAGAAGAGCATTAAACCCAATTATGGTATATTGAAGCTGCATAATGATTGTGAGCAGGGTGTTATTTACTCAGCATCTCCTGCTCTAGCACCACTTCAGATCAGCCTGAAGTCTCACAGGACCACAGGTAGACTAAAATGGAATAATTTGAACAGAAGGTTCACCTCAGACTTACAGCAGTATTATCACACTGCTAAGTGCTATATTTACCCCTGAATGCCCACCAAAAAAGGGAAAGCTCAGCAAAGCCAGGCTACTCAATCCCTGCATTTACCTGTCCTCAATTTCCTGAAGTTTCCTGCGAGCAACCTCGCATTGCTGTTCCCCCATTGTCTGATCCATTTCTTCACAGGGAATTTCTAACATGGCAGTTTCAGGACCGCTGCCACCATACTGACTTGCCACCTCCCCAGCTGCCTGCTGACCTGCACAAAGAATCCATTCTTCAGTGTTGGGATTCAAAGGGCAATTTTTGGCTCCTGTCAGTCTCTTCTTCCGCACAGGACAGCTAGGAAACAAAGGAAGTTTACAATTGTCAAAACAAGAAATGTGGCATTCTACAGGAACAAATGTAAAGTGCATTTCAGCAGCACTGACACACTATGGCAATGCAATCTCAACAAAGAAAATAAATCCACATTGCTCTTAGTAAAATGTGTGTACCTATTCAGGAAAATCAGTGCCACACAATTAATTAGGTAGTAGAAATGGATTTGGGCTCATGTGCAATTCAAGGGAAGAGTTCCAAATGGAAACAATGATAGATTTCCTTCCTGTTTGTATTGTAGGTGAGATGTGCTCAAACAAAACAAAAAGCAAATCGGGATTTTTCAGGCTATAAAAGACAAATTAATTTACCCTTCTGCCTCTTCTTCTAGTTTATGCTTCTTTCCACATCGCACAGAGACACTACAAAAGAAAAACAGTTACTCAGCTTCAAATTGTATCTTTCGGTTACACTGATACTGTCAAACAGTATTTTCCTCCCTTTTAAAATTTCATCTGAGATCAACAGTCACAGTATGTCACCAGCTGTGATGGGAACAAAAGTTTGGGACAATAAATAATCATTTTGTTACAAAGGAAGTCAAAGGTGGCTGTAATTACTCAGTTTTCTGAACAGAATTCCACATTAATTTCTTCTCCTTTCATTATTTAGTTTTCCATAAGGGGCAAGACCAATTTTTGCTAAAATTGAAATGCCTCAAGAAGCAACACATGACCCAGCTTGAGTCTCTTAATGCTCTACATCACCAGAACACACTGAAAAAATACTGAAACCAATAAGTAAGTTTGAAAGTACATAAAGATGCTGGCACACTCGATCACCTTCCTTGCCTTTCAAAAGGCTCCTTCACCCCCCACCAGCCACCTTCAAGGTCCTCAGCCGAGCAGAATACAATTTTTAAACCTCCCACCAGCGGAACACTGCTACAAGGAAACAAATCCCAGCCGCCTGGCAGAGCACCCGCCGCAGTTCCCGCTGCCGGCCCCGGCCCTGCGGGACGGCTCTGGCACTTACTGGCTGCGGCTCCGGCTGAAGGAGCTCACCGGGGCCACCGTCAGCCCCTCGCCGTGGCTCCCGAGCGCGGCCAGGGAGGCCAGGTCGAAGCTGCTCTGCAGACAGAAGCCGGAGGATCCGTCCACGCCGTCGTTTCCGACCCCTGCCATGACCATCCCGGGGGGCTGCAGACGGCCGTGGCCGCCGACTAAGGGCTGCGGGCCGTGGCGGTCCGGAGCGGCGGCCGGCGCTGTGGGGAGCTCCACGGCCGGGCCCGCCGGGATGCCCTGGCAGGATCTGCCTAGCGCTGCCATTTCCTGCTGCGGGGGAGAAAGCGCACATCAACACCGCAATCCGCACTGCAGGAGCCCCGCACGAAAAACCTCCTCCGCCCGCAGCGCTCACCCGGGCCGAGCCGGGCCCGCGGCTGCGGCCGCCGCTACTGCCCGGGTCCTTCCAGGCCTTTCGCCGCTATCGGATAAGGACCCGCGGGCACTGTGGGAGTTGTAGTCCCGGGCACTGGGAGACCTCTGGGAGTTGTAGTCGCGAGTGCTGTGGGACCTGTGGGACTTGTAGTTCTGGGTGCTGTGGGAGACGCGCTCTGGGAGCGGGCTCCCCGGCGCGGGCCCTGAGGGCGCCGCGGGCTCCCCGGCGCGGGCCGTGAGGGCGCCGCGGGCTCCCCGAGGGAATCCGAACAGCCCCTCTCTTGTCCGTGGCCCGGCTTAATCCCCGCAGCGGGGCAGGCACGGTCCGGCAGCCAAATCCCGGTCAGCTGAGGAGCCCAGGCGGGCGCGGGGAGGTGGCGAGCGGAGCTGCGGGCGGCAGGAGGGAGGGATGGCGCCCCAGAACACGGTAACCGCCCGTCCTTGTCTTTACTTGCGGGAGGCTGCGGGTTCTGCGCGGAGTTAGAGAAGGATGGTGTATGCACACGGTGTAAGAGGTGGGAAAGCTCCCTGAGGCTGCTGTGAGGCTTTATCGAAGTTGGACATCCCTGTCACAAAAAAGTTCGGAACTGTTGAGGAGAGTCCCAATGGGCGGGGAGAAAAAACCCATCAAAACCAATCAAACAAAACAACAACCAAAAAAAGGAAAGCTGTGTCTTAATACATTAGTAACTTAAATTTTTTGGCACCTTTTTTTTTTCTTTCTTTTTTTTTTTTTTTCTGTAACGTAGTTTATTAAATTTTGCAAAGGAAATCTAATTCAGCCCATGCTCAGAATGGAGCACCAGCCCCTGCTCAGAGGGTCTAGCTCGCCCTGCAAGGTAAGCAGAACCATCCTGAAGGTGGATCCTGCAGGGAGTTTGTGGTTTTAGCAATGATGTACAGATGTGAAATGTGCTAAATGTTAGCTTTTAAATAGAAATACCTTAAGAGATTAGACTAAGGTTTTGTGCTTTCCTTGGACACCTGGCTGTGTTATAAAGTGGAAGCTATAAAAGCAGCTTTCTGATTCTCATGTTTTACATTGAATACAAATACAATTGAATACTGAATTTTGTTTGTGTCATGTTTTTGGAATGAAGTGAACGCCCTTATAAACTGTTGTGAGTTCAGAACACGAGACTGTTATCTGTGCTCTCTCCAGACTCCAATGTGAGACAGCATACCAATGTCACGAGCCCAGCTGATTTGGGGAGGAAGAACAAAAGATCTGTCATAATAAAACCTAAGTTATATGATGTATGTTCGTTATTTTGAGGTGTATGTTTGTTTATTTATTTTCTGTCTCTTCTAGATTCCCAGTTGTACCCATAAAACACACAAAAGAGGTTTACAGTACTTAATTAATATAAGGGTCTGAGTGTGCAGTGCCAGTGTTTACTACACCAGTTTTGGTTTTTTCTGCTATACCCACAGCACCCCTTACTTAATTCATTGCTGTGATTCACATTCAGAGAAACACTTTTTATTCTTGGAAACTGGAAGGAAATGTTAATTGGATTTTACTTTAATAAGACCAATTTCAACTTGCAAATTTCAGGGAGGGAGGAAGGAAGGAAGTTTTGATGAATTATCTTTAGGAAGGACACAGCTCTGTCAGAAAACAGTACAATATCTGGAATAACTCAGCATTTCTGGGAACTAGACCAAGAATGAGAATGATGAAGAATTAGTCTACATACTTTACAATGAGAAATTCAGGGAGTACAAGTTTATTAAAATAAATACGTACAGCCTTTATATATGAAGGAAGGGGGAAATTGATCACTTAAATGTCTTTAATATAGGAGATGTTGATGTGTCTAGCTGACCATAATCAATAAGATACTCTGAGATTAAATTAGGACCTAATTTAAAAGGAAAGGTTTGCTAGGCATTGGAACTGGATGTTATTTTTAGTATGATCATATTCAGTAAAAAGTAATCTCAGAGAGCACTTCATGAGAATATCAAACATTGTATAAATCCTTTGAGATATCTGGCTATATCCAAAGTATGGTTATGACCAGTTAGATTCCTGTGATTTGGACATATCACAGTTTGTGTTGACTTTAAAACCTGTGAATCTCTGCCTCTATGAATTTTAGTTTGTAAATACTGATTTGAAACTGTAACTAGGTCATAGATATTGAAAAATTTTAAAAATACATGCCAATAAGCTTTAAATGAATATTATTGCCAGTGAACAAATTATTGTGATTGAGGTACTAAGGCTTTGTACCTGCCAACTTGCAGACATCATGTAATCATTTTAGGGACTTAAAATATTGCTTGGAGGAAATAAAACATTGTTACTTCTCACACCTTGGTTAAAATGTGACTCACAGAATTTGAGATTTGGTTAATTCTCATACTGGGTCATTGTGTCTCTAACACCAGACATAAACAGTCCTAGCATTCTTTCATTAAAAACAGGCACTGTGAGCAGTGTGACTTATGCAAAAAGCATTTACTCAGTTTCTAATAACAGCTGTAATGGTTTTGTTACCTACACTTCATCTGGAGACTTGTAATTGTGGTATTTCTGAAGGCTGTTAGTGATCAGGGCCAAAAATAGCCTGAAATACTTCTCCTGCTGCAGGTGCTCAGGAGTTCAGGTGGTTTTTTAAACAAATACTTTGACTGCTCCAAACTAAATACATGATGTATTTCACCACAATTTTCTTTTAGCTATTACATGTGTGTGGGCTCAGGGTCCTGCCTCTTTTCATGCCCATGATTTTCCTTTGCTCCCCAGCTCCCCAGCTGGACGTTGTTCCTGGCTGTTTGTGCTGTTGGAATTGGAGGCACCTTTCAGTATGGGTACAATGTCTCCATTATCAATGCACCCACTCAGGTAAAAGCTCATCTTTTTGTTCCCTGGGCTCTTTCCTCTCTGAACTCGGCCACAAGACCAAATGTGCCTTTGCTGTGATCACAGTGGGAACTGAAGCACTCTTCCTCTCATGTGAAGGAATCTTGTTCATTTCCTGTGGGGTTTCATGTGCATTTGTTTGTGAGTACCTCCAGTCAGAACTATTCTGTGTCAGACAAAAGTGCCAAATAGGTCACATAAATACCTTTATTATTAGAAGGATTTACTGAATAAGTAATATATTTTTGGTTACTAAAATCACCCAGAACACTAAGGGTAGAACAGACCAGAACATTTTCAGTTGGAAGGCACCTACAATAACTACCTGACCACTTCAGGGCTGACCAAAAGTTAACAGCAATGTCCAAAAGCCCTTGGAGCATTGACCACTTGTTTGGGAAGCCTGTTCTTCTGTTTGACCATCCTTTCTGTAGGATATCACCACTATTTCTCCAAATGTCAAGTTTAAACCTCCTCTGACACAGCTTTGAGCCATTCCCATTCTTTCTATCACTGGATAACAGGGAGAAAGTACAGTTACTATTTACTGGTGTCCATCACGAGGCAGATTACTGAAAAAGTCCTTCTTAGGGAATTAAAATGTTCCATCTGTAGTGGCTGAGTATCTTGTAGGTGTTTTCATTTGTTACTTGAGCGTTCTTTGCTGTAGCCTCTAGGATTCTGCATATTTTGTGGATGACTCAAGGATCTAAGCAAATGTTCTTGTGGAAGTGATGGGTATCAGTTTTTGCTACCAGCTGATTTAATTGCTTAGGAAACTGTGAAAATTGAATTTGCAACCTTGTATGCTTTTTACAAAGCTTAAAAGAAGCTGTTTGTGAAAGAACATGTCATATGCTGGGAACAGAGAGCTAGTCCAAGAAGTTTGTTCTTCTGTAATCTTTGTTTGCAGGCAAAGAGCAAGAGCCTCTGATTACAGATACATGCCAGTTCAAGAGTTTCTAAAGGCAAATTTTAGAAAACCAAGCATGTGGAATAACAGCTTCAAAGTTCTGACACATGAATACTGTAAGGTGGAGTATTATTAGAGTTGAAAAAGGGATTTTAGTCTTTTGGATTACACTAAGGCAGGGAGATTTAGATCAAGTGTCAGAATGAGTTCCCTGACAGTAAAATTTTTCAGGTTGCAAGGCCTCTGTGCTCTGAGATGTTCCTAAAAACAGTAGGGCCAGCCATGCACTCTGTTCCCCTTCTTGTTCAGAAGGACCTCAGAGCTCACTCGTGGCAGTGCATGTCAGGGTTGTGTTTCCCCTCTGCTGCAGCACCTGAGGCAGGGCACGAAGCAGAGCTGCTCAGCAGCCTTTGAGGTGTGTGGGGAGTAGGAAACACAAAGTCTTCCTTGTGGTCGAGGAAGATTCTGCCAGGTAGATGATATCTCTTAGAATTAACTCCCAGAACTGATTTTCAGGATTGGGGTGCAAGTTATTTGTAGTGCTGTGTGTAGGGCTGTATAAAATACTACACATTCATCACTGTCTTCTACTGCAGCATATACACAAGTTCTTAAACGAGACCTGGAGTAGTCGTTATCACAAGGAGCTAAATCCAGATTTGCTGACTTTTCTTTGGTCTGTCATCGCTTCCATCTTTTCCCTCGGAGGCCTGTGTGGAGCCCTGATTGGAGGCAGCATGGCCATTCGCCTGGGCAGGTCAGTTGCAGCAGCAGGCATATGAAAGCATGTTTGCTTTTCCTACCTTCCCACTGGAACAGAAAGTAAATAAATGGGAAAAGAGTGGGAGAAAAGAGTACCTTGGTGAAAGTGATTTTTCAATTTAAAACTGAGTTTCCTAGTAGCATTTTACAGTTTATTCCAATGTAACTTTCAAGGATGAGCCTTGAATTATGACCTTTGTCTTAGTCTTTGCATTACGTTTACTGAAATCTGAGTAGGAGAATGCACACAGAGTGTGTTGAAAACATGAGTTTCCCCCTAACACATTTGCAGCCCTTGTGCCAGTAAGGACATGCTGCTTCTTCTGTTGCACTTCATTTGTCTAAATGAAGAAACTGCAGTCCTACCTTGTCAGGCATTTCTGTCATATTTATACATTATTCTTATGTTCAGACATTTTAAAAACATAAGCAGTTGTATCAGATATCTGGGTTTTCTGGGTTTCCAGGGAATAGCATGTTTCTTCAGCATAAAGTCCCCCACATTATCAGAAATGAAACCTGTTTAAAACCCCACATTGTTACAGATTTCCATAATGTCTGGATGAGGTGGGTTGTTTTCAGTTTTGGGGTTTTTTTGTTTGTTTTAATCAGTTTTTGTATGTTCTGTGGAGTATTATTATTACTATTATTGTTATTATTATTATTAATTTTGTTCCTCCTTTTTAGGAAAGGAGCTCTTTTGATGAATAATGTTATAGCAATACTAGCCTCCATTTTAATGGGGATCAGTTTTCCTACAGGATTGTTTGAGTTACTGATTGCTGGAAGGTTTTTGATTGGCATAAATTCAGGTGAATGATTTCTTATTCCTACTATCAATAAACTATGGTGAATGACAAGTTATTATTTCTGATCCTTTAGGTTTTATGATTAAAATATTCTGTAGTGTAGCTTGGAATCTGAAGGCAGCTAAATGAATAGGAAATTAATTAAGTCTCATTTTGTATGTGTTTTGGTTTAGTAACTCTTTGCAAAGCAATTTCTATTGATAGGAAAATGTTTCTTCCATTTAATTGCAGGTATTGGGCTCTGTGTGCAGCCTCTTTATATTGGGGAGTTTGCCCCAAAACACCTAAGAGGTGGCTTGGCCATGGGGACTTCCATCTTTCTGACTGGGGGAATTCTGACAGGACAAGTAATTGGTTTGAGGTAAGAAATATTTGAGGGTTTTTTTTCCTGTTTTGTGTTATTCCTGTGTAAAGAATTCCAATTTCCTACAGCTCATTGCAGGACATTCCTTGTGCCTTTGCAGCATTAGAATTCACACAAAGTCCTCCTGGGAGAAGAAAATCCCGCTTGAGTCGCCTTATTCCTACAACTGCCAGCCATCAGTGCTGTCCCCTCAGGGGAGCAGTGTCAGTTTAGATGGGTCACCAGAACAGCATCAGTAAAGCAGCCACATTTGAGCTGAGTTCATGTTTTCTGCCAATTTCTTGCTGGAGACAGTGGATGTTGGCAAGGACTTGAGAGCAAAGGACTCACTAGCACTGCTTTTGTCCCCTGTGTGATCAGAGGAAGTTGCTCAGGCCTTCATCCAGCCGGAACTTAGAAGTTTCAAGTGCAGAGACTGCACTAAATAGTAACCAATAGCTAATTGTTATATTTATTTGCCTTCTTTTTCCACCTTTCTCACAGAGAATTATTGGGTGGAGAAGAGCATTGGCCTCTGTTGCTATCCAGCAGCTGTATTCCAGCATTAGCCCAACTGTTATTCCTTCCATGGTTTCCTGAAAGTCCCAGATATCTTCTTATTGACAGAGGTGATGAGCTGAGCTGTGCCAAAGGTATTCAGGATCTATACTTCTGTTCTCCAAAAGTGTACAATGAATATTTGGGTTCCAGATTCTCCCTTTAATATTCAGGATCTATACTTTCTGTTCTCCAAAAGTGTACAATGAATATTTTGGGTTCCAGATTCTCCCTTTATCTTCATCCACACAGTACTGTTGTATCATCTAGTGCTTTTTGGCCCATGTTTTTCCTCCAGTGAACTTATATGGAAGAAGGGATTGTGGAACTCAGGAGCCCATAATGGGTTATACACAAAACTTTAATATCCTCTTTCAAATATAAGTTCATTGACTGGAGCTCCAAGCTGATTACTCTCAATGGAAAGTTCATTATCAGGATCATCAAAACTCCTACTCTTGACCTTAAGAAGACAGATTGTCACTTGAGATATATTTAATCATGAAGATTTTAGAATGCTGTATAGTCTTTAAGCTTTAAGACCATTTGTAAAGATTTTAGTCTGGGGTCCAAATGACTTCTGATTATATTTGCCTTAGGAGAAGGATTTTCTCTCTTTGCTCCAGCTCACTAACTGCATCCCACTGGCAACATTAAAGTCAGGGCTATAACAAAGGACTCAGTGTCTGCCTAGAATTTATGCAAAACTCCTCAAACTAGTAAGAGTGTCCTTTAAGAAAAAGACTATTTGAAAGTCTGAGGTTCAGATACAAAATATTTTGCCTGGTGAATATTTCAAAGTCAGATATTCCTCTAAAAAGAAGGAAAAAAATGCCACAGAATTCTCCAAATCCACCACAGCAAAAAATGTTGAAAAAACAGCAAGGAGCAAGCAAGTCACAAAGCAAATTTTTCATATGCTAGCAAACGCCAGGTCATTATGAAAAGAGATTATTTCCCAGGATTGTGGTTAATAGATAAATGTAATTTTTTTTTTTCAATTTGTAGCTTTGAAACGATTTCATGGTTCCTCAGAGTATCGAAGGGAGATGGAAGACATCCAGCGGGAATGCTTTGCCTTAGATGGGGAGAAACCCAAGAAGCCCTGGCAGCTGTTCAGTGACCGTGCTGTGAGATGGCAGCTCATCACTGTCATCGTGATGACAATGGGCCAACAGCTCAGTGGCATTAATGCTGTAAGAGTTCACATGAGCAAACAGCTTCAATAATGATTTCATTTCCACCTGGTTTTCAACCATTCATTAACACAAAAGATCCACATGGAGAAGCTCAGTGAAATGGGATAAGTGGGAAAGAATGTCCTTGCATTATTTTGGTGTTTCTCTTTCTTTTTTTTTCTCATTTCTGAGTTTCTGGTATGCAAACTTTTTTAAAGAATGACTTGATACTTCCTCTGAAAAACATTCCTATGAAAAAGTAAATAAAGGTGGATCAGCTTATCCCAAAGTGTCTGGTTTAAGAATGTAAAGCATATTCAGTAAGTTGAATAATCCTCTTGGCTTTTATGATATTTAGACATTATTTAGACATTAATTTAACAGATTGTTACTGCTGCTTATGTTGAATTAGTAACTCACAACATAAAATACACTGATTATATGTTTGGTATGAACATGACTTTGTTTCCAGACAATGTTTTAAATACCAGAAAAACCTCATTGTTTGTTTTTTATTTTTCTTTTTTTTCTATTGTAGATTTATTTCTATGCAACTTATGTTTTTGAACAAGCTGGGATCGTGGCAGAAAAAATCCCGTATGTGACACTTGGCACTGGAGTTTGTGAATGTCTCACAGCCCTCTCCTGTGTAAGGAGCAGTTTGTTCTACCTGCCAGTACAAGCAGTAATGATTCTTCTTGAAGAATATTGCTAAAAATGAGATCAGTATATTAACAGAAGATTCTATCTTGTCCACAGGGTTTGCTGATAGACTATGTGGGAAGAAGATGCCTTATCATTGGGGGTTATCTCCTCATGACGCTCTGGTGCACTGTTCTGACCTTCTCTCTGACTTACCAGGTGCAAAGGACTCGTTCCTGTTACCCAGTGGGACTGAGGAGTGAAAAGGGCACGTGGTTGCACAGTAGGGGGGAATGGGTTTAAATGAGAATAGGGTAGATCAGGTGTCAGGAAGAAATTCTTCCCTGAGGCTCTGGCACACGGTGTCCAGAGAAGCGGTGGCTGCTCCATCCCTGGAAGTGTTCAAGGCCAAGTTGGATGGGTTTGGAGCAACCTGGGCTAGTGGAAGGTGTCCCTACCCATGGCCAGGAGTGAGATGGGATGAGCTTTAAAGCCCCTTCTAGCCCACACTATGATTACATAATTCTATGATTTAGTAAAAATCATTGAATGAACAGTATTTAATTTCTCTGAAGCAGAACTGTTAAATAAATTAGCTGTAAAAGAGTAGTGAAAGACTGCTGGTCTTAATTGAAAAAAAAATACAGAAGGAAACTTAACTATTAAACCAGACTTTAAAACTGGATTATCAAATTCTGAACTAAACCTTCTCATTGTCTTCTGTTTCAGGAGCTGTACTCCTGGGTGCCTTACATGAGCATGATGTGTGTATTTGCCTTCATCTTGAGCTTTGGGCTGGGCCCAGGTATTGCACAGGAACGTGTGTGAGTGGGGGAAGGTCTGGGAGGGTTGGGTGTCACACAGCCAAGAAGCCTTTGCAGCACAGCTGCTGCTGCTCTGGCTCAGGAACACAACTGAGGCTTACCATGCATGATTCTGGGGCAGTTATGTGTGAGGGAGGGCTTAGTTCTGCCCTTCAGAGCAGAAGGGTTCTACAGTTGTCAGAAGGGGCCTGCTCCCTGATCTGTGCTACTGAAATGGGGCTGTGTTTTAGTGGGAAACTTCCTGCAAGGGCAGTAGCCTCAGAATTGTGCTGTTAGGAACTAAAATAGATCAGCTAATGACATATTCAAAAGCAAATCAATCTTTTGTAGCAATGGAAATACCTCAAATGGACATTTAGCACAATTTTCTGTTTCTGAACCATTCCCAGGTGGCATAACAAACACCCTGACAGCTGAGTTATTTGTACAGTCCTCACGTCCTGCTGCCTACATGATTGCAGGGACTGTGAGCTGGATTAGTTTCTTCACAGTTGGAATGCTCTTTCCCTTCATCGTGGTGAGTGTGCACAGCACAACTTCCATTTCACCTGCTCCCAGGTTCCATCCCATTGTTGTATTGTATTATATTCACTTGTGTATATAACTGACACTTGACCAGGATGCACACTGCCCCTCAAATGAATTTAACTAGATTCAGTCCCTCTTAAAAGTATTTTTTACACATCACAAACCCCAATATAACATGATAAATGAAAAGTAAAAGAAATGCACTGGAGGGCAATGTTCATACTGGGATGAAAAAAACAGAGAAGGTATCAAAAGCACAAGAACTTAATCAGGTACTGAGATTCAGATAAAACATATTTTAATAGTGCCTTGTGCTTTTATGGCAAAGTAACATTGAGGTGGTACCTGTGGCCAGCAAGTCACTTCTCTGAGAACTTGCTGAACTAACAGAGTTCTGTAAGCAGAAGATTATTAGGAAAGGTAAGACAGGCTTTCATCTCCAGCTTTGTACTTTTAGTTTTAGCACATATTCTTGACAGCAAAACTGACAGGAACAGCATGCATCTGGGTATCTGGATCTGCCTGTCCTTTCTTCATGGCTGAGCTCTGCTTCTCAGTAAGATAGTTGTTTTTTTTAATGTACAGTATTGAAAAATATTAACATTCAGAGAAACTTAAATTATATAGTCTTAAAAATATGTGACAGCTAAGTAGCAATTGTTGACTTTTAGATTGTGACATTTGACTGTTTAAATGGTTTATCTTATTTTTAAAATAAAAGTCTATTGCACAGCACTTGACAGTCTTTACAGGTGAAGATTAGGTTAAATGACTCCTTTTAGAAAAACATCTGAGCAGCGATGTTAAGTGTAAATGGAAACAAAAAGCTTATTTTCTCAAACCTACTGTTATTACACTTGAAATATGTTGCAATCACATTTATTTTCAGAATGGACTGAAGCAGTATTGTTTTGTGGTGTTTTTACTGGAGTGCTTCTTTGTTGCTGCTTTCATCTTCCTCATAATTCCTGAGACAAAAAACAAATCCTTTCTGGAAATCAAAAAGGAATTTCACAAGCTTAATTTTGGAAGAAATGCCAGGAAAAAGGAAACAGAGCTTTATGAAAGAAGGCAACTTCAAGATGAATTTTTAAAGATTTCTGCCTAATTTCACAAATGCAATAGAACTTTGGTGAGAATTATGAACCTTGTAATACATGATCAAGTGGCTTATTAAATCTTCCTGTGTATTTAGAGGAAGTGTAACTAAAGGCACATTAGTACTGCTGAAAACACTGTTAAAACGTGTATTGCTGAAATACAACTAACAACATATTGTATTATCCACAGAAAACATCTTTAGCTGTAACCTGGTGCTGTAGGGATGCAGAAATGCCAGGGAGGATGTTCAGTGAGCCCCTCTGGCAGATTTCTGCAGGTAATTCAGCAACTCTTCTTGCATTTCAAAGCCCTGTCTTCAGTTTGGGTCATTGGGCGTATCCAAATGCTTTGCTGAGTGTAACATGGTGAGTTCTTCTTAAAACCCACACAAGAACTGATAGCTGATATTTGAAATATTCCAGTTTATGTAGAAATAGTGGTATTTAGTTTCTGTTTTTCCAGTTATGTCACTTTGAAAGCCTTAAAGACATTCCTCATCCAGTTCTACTACTGTACTGTGCAATGAAAGTACAGCACCTCTCTGATTACTGGTATTTGGAATAAAAACTTGTATCCTGATAAAAGACTGACTGGAGTTTCAATTTGGTTAATTTTTTTCCATAACCTAGCATCTTAACCTTTTAAACTATTCAACAGGGTAAAACTACTTCTAGTTTTGGAGGTTAGTTCCCATCAGACTGAGATCTACATACCAAAAAGCATGAAGTAGCAGAGAGGACAGATGACAGAATTAAATACATTTTACCTTTAAACTACAGGGAGCCTGTAGGACATGCTGAATGAGCCTTCTGCCCCCTCGCCAGTATTTTTTACTGGACTCTTTTTCAACTTAAAATACATTCTTTATATGTTAGAAATCTCACATGTGGAGTTTGTGTGCCTCTCTGGTATTTGTTTCTATTCCTGCCACTGCCAGGACAGTGACCTTACCCAGTTCAACTTTTCCTGCCTGTAATCATTTCCAAGTACCAGCTGTTACCCAAGTGCTGCAGCAAGCATGGATTTCTTTTATATTTATTTTCCTCCTCTCAAAATTAAAGCTTTTAATGGAAGTATAGGAAACAAACACCCTTGGTCTGATTTTGGTAACAAAACCATTTGTTTAATTGAAAATAACACTAACTGTTAATAGCTAAGAAGGCAACATCAGGAAGGGATCTTCTTGGCCTTTATTTTATCCTCTATGTTTGCAAAATACTTCATTTTTGCTAGCAGCTTCTTGGCTTCCTGAAGATCATCTGAAATGAAATAAAACATTTCTGGTTTACAGAGGGAGAGATGAATTTGCAGTTTCAAAATGAATCTCAAGGTTTCAGTGACAGCACCTGTTTTAGTACCAAGAGTTGTGAGCTGCAAGGACTCACACTATTAAAACCTTGCTGCCTGGTGTTTAACCTCAGATGGTTTGGGAACATCTCAGCTCAAATGTTCCACAAAACCTGTAACAATGAACAATTTGGGAAAGAAATGTGAATGAATATATTCTTTAATGACTCCTGTGAAGTGGCTGCAGTATTGATCTACCACTAGGAAAAACAAATGTTTTTGTTTAAAATGTGTATAAATAGACCAACTGATATAACTGAAAAATGCAAATGAGGAGGAGTCTGGTCTGGACAGTGCCAATTCCAAAATTGATATTGAAACTATTTCTGCTCAGCTAAAGGGGAGGGTGAGTTATGATCTACAGAGAAAGGCAACACAGTCCTTCTCATGGCACAGAGTAACAGAATGTAACTTCTCACAGGCAGGCCCAGCCAGCACCACTGTGATGTTTACAGTTTCACACACCCACCCCTGCCAAACCTGCGCCATTCTGGACCTGGCACACAAGCACAAAGCTTTCTTCCCAGCTTCAGAAGCTCAGGAATGGTTCAAGCTTGTGCCTGTCCACTGGTTGTAGAATAAATTTATGTTGATTATTGCACAGGAAGTCCCCAAAACCTTATGCTGAACAGGCCTTTACTTGCCCCACAGCAGCTGTGGTTTTCAGTGCCAAGAACAGCACTCACTGCTCTGCTGCAGCTCCAGGACTGCAGAGCAACACTCCCAAATTCAAGTGTGAAACCTCAGAATATGTCTGAGATGAAGTCTGTCCTTCCCAGCATTCTGGGAAACACACAAACAATTTCTTAGCATCTACACTCCCACTCAAAATGAATGGAACTTTTGTACTGGACTTTGCTTTTAATGTGAGGTCTTGAATTTCCCAAATCAGCAGGAATGTCAGTTTAGAAGTACTTATTCTAAATACCTAACAAAGAACCCTTGTCAATGCAGTATTTCTATTCCATAGCTCAAGAAATATTTGCCAGTAAGAGAATGTGGAGCTTTAAGCATTTGACAGGTATGTATGGCAGCTAAAAACTTCATAAAATAGGTACCTTTTTCAAAAGCTGCAGTCACCTCTCTGGTCAGTTCTTCTTGCTTAACTGCAAAACAAATTATTTCATTTACTTTTTTTTATACTTAGGATATTTGATACCACTGCATTCTGACTGCCTGTGGTGGGAAAGTTCAACTTCATTCTGACAGGTTTTTTCTTTGGAACAATTGACTAACCTGATGAAGGCTGAGTAAATTCCTTTTTATTGTCTCTATATGTATTTATTTTGACATCAGAATAGGTTATGTTATACAAATGTTCTCAAGACATGTAATGTTTAGGTGCATAAATAGGTAAAGACAACACTAGAAAAGAGGGGAACAGAGCAGAAGGTCTTGCAGTGAGTCAATTCCAGACTAAGACAAATTGAAGACATTACAAGAAATATACCAACACAGTTTAAAGCTTTCAGACTCAGGTGATTCAGTGTACTGTTCTGTAAAAACTCCTCAAGTCATAACCTACCTTTAATTGAAGTTTCAATTTCTTCAAGGTTATCCTTGTTTTTGGACTCTGCTAGTTTCTCATTAATTTCCATGACTTCCATAAGGAACGCTGAGTCTGTATCACAGTCTGTCTCTTTTGCTGGCTCCACCCCACTCAGCTCCAGCTGGCAGAGGAAATGGGAATTTGAAAATAAATATTCCCACATCCATTTCTATGGAAACTGTTTTCTTTAATATCAAGTCTCTTAGCAAGGCATACTCAGATTCATATTTGATAAACCTACAGTGCACTGTGTCAATCTGAAAATTAACTCCATACATAGGCTGACCATAAAAATGAGCAGTTACCAAACAAAAAAAAAAAAAAAAAAAAAAAAAAAAAAAAAAAAAACCCATAAAAAAAGCTGCCATGGGCCAGACTGAAATTTTGAATGAGCAGCCAAGTGTGATGTGGACAACAAATTACTGTAAGATGAGTAGCAAATGATTAATGCTGATTAATTTTTGGAGAAACTTGGTTCTGCTGTCCCTTCAATCTCTGGTGATCCTCTTCAGAGGAATGCAGATTAGCACATTAAGGACAGAATAGAGGGTGGGATCCCCACCAGCCCCCAGGGTTAGTTACAGAACACTGCAATACCTAAGGAGACCTTACTAGATAGAGGCCGCGGCTCAGAGGGTTCAGCAGGGTCTGGTAGGCCTTGTTGATCAGGGAAGAGTGTTGCTCAGAGTAGTGCTGCTCTTTCTGCAAACGGATGGCACATAATTGGAAGCTAATAACAAGCGGCAAAACAGACTTTGTTACGTGCGGAACACCGGCGTCCCCACAGCAGTCCGTGTGAAGGCTCTGTGGCACCGCACTCAGCCTAGCCCTGGCGAACCGCAGCGGCCGCTCGCCGTCCGCCTCCACCGCAAATCCGTGCCAGAGCCCCTTCTGAGCACCGAAACACAAACACAGCCGAATCCCCTCACTCCCCGGGCGGGAGAGACGTGGGGACTCGGCACTGCGGCCCCGCCACGCAGCCGAATGCTAAAGCCGAGCTCCTCCGGCGGCCACCGAGCCCCGCCGGCCCCTCCCGGCCCGGCTCCCCCGCCCGGCCCGGGGCTCACCGGCGGCCTCTTGCCGAAGCGGTCGGGGTGCACGGCGCGCTGCAGGCTCCGGAACCGCCGCTGCAGCTGCCCCGGGTCGATGCGGAACGAGCGGTCGCTGCAGGACACGGGGCGGGTGAGACCCGCGGCCGGCCGGGCTCGCGGCCGCCCCGCCCACACTCACCAGTCCATCAGGCGGAAGAGGTCAGGCCGCGGCGCCGGCGGCTGCAGAGCCTGGCAGCCGGGGCAGAAGTGGAGCGGCCCATCGCTGCTGGGCAGCGGAGCTCCGCAGCTCCAGCACGGCGGGGCCGGGGCGCGGCTCAGCGCGGCCCCGCGGAGCGCCAGGCGCGCCCAGCCCAGCCGCGCCCGCAGCGCCGAGTTATGATCTAC